TCGCCCGAGCCCAGGAGGTTGAGGTTGCGGCGAGCTGGGTTGTGCCCTGCTCTCCAGCCTGGACGGCAGAACAAGACCCTATCTGCCAAAAAAAAAAAGTGTGTGTGTGTGTGTGTGTGTGTTTTTTTTTTGTAATCAACCCAGAAGATGCGGGGCTCTGATGACACCGGGACGTCCAGTGTCTGGACCAGCCGTAGGTGCTTTGGGGGAAAACGCCCCAGAGTCCGCGTGCAGCCCAGCCCTCCCTTTCCACAGGGGAACGAAGTGGAGGTGAACTGAGTAGTGAATGCAAGTGCCCAGGGGCACTGACCTTCCCGCCGCCAGCCAAGACAAGGGTGTTTCCCCTTTACGGGTGACGGGACCCACTCAGGAAGGCCCGCAAAGGCTGGGCACAGCGCCTCACCGCTGGCAGCGTGCCACTGCACTCCGGCCCGGGTGACAGGGTGGAACTCCGACTCAAAGAAAAGAAAAGGCCCGTGAGCGTGGAATGCAGCCGGCCAGGGCACCTAGGTCTGCTTCCGTGCTCGCGGGGTTTTCAGCCACGTCCTGCAAAATGAGCAGCTTAGGCCATTTAGAAAGCAGGGGTTTGGCCAGCTGCGGGGGCTCACGCCTATGATCCCAGCGCTTTGGGAGGGGAGGGGAGAGGATTGCCTGAGTCCACGGGTTTGAGACCAGCCTGGACAGCGTGGCAATACCTCATCTATACAATAAATCAAAAAAATTAGCTGGGTGTGGTGGTGCACACCTGTGGTTCCAGCTGCTTGAAAGGCCGAGGTGGAAGAATCGCCTGAGCCCAGCAGGTCAGAGCTATGGCGGCCATGAGCGTGTCACTGTGCTCCCGCCTGGGTGACAGAGTGAGACTCCAACTCAAAAAAATAAGTAGGTATAAATAAATAAAATAGAGAGCGATGTAAGTAAATAAAGAGGGCTCTAAAACGCAGGCGTCTAGAGACACAGCGATAAAACGTGGTACTCGGGCAGACGTGCCCTTACAGAGACGACCCCCAGCAAGACCTCAGGGCCTCCCTTCAGATGCGAAATGCACATCACGTCATGGGAGCTGCCTGCCCGTGTGCTCGTCCCCGATGGCGAAGGGTGTCTGCTCTTGCAGGTGTCACATTCCCACAGGAAGCCGTGCCCGGGCCATAAATGCACAGGGAAACCGTCTGGTCTTATGATTGCGTCCGTCACACTTGATGAATGACATCCCCCTGTGTTTGTAAATGAATGCACTACAATTAGGAGGTCTGTTTTGTTTCTGTTTCAGCCTGGCGATTTGAAAAAGAGAATTGAATCTCTCATAGACAGAGACTATATGGAGAGAGACAAAGACAGTCCGAACCAATACCACTACGTGGCCTGATGCCCCGCGGATGGCTGCTCCCCACAGAACACTAGAATGTACCCTCCGCGCAGGGAGCACGTCTGTGCCGCTTCCGGACAGCACCTGACCCAGCCGTGGCCTTGGCGAGGACGGGAGAGATTCCGGGTCCTCGTCGCGAGACCCAGGGACTCCCAGCGGCCGACGTCTCTTTTTCCTTCCAGCTCTTCCTCTGGTTCTTTTAGGCATTTAAGTTGTTTCTATTGCTCTGTGCAGAATAACTTTGAGATCGGGCGAGAAGATATTGGTCACAATTGGTTTTCCTTCAAAGGCCTTGTTCTTGTGGCAAAAGCTGAAAGTTTGGTTTGTTTTTGTTTGTGTGATCATGAATGCACAGTGGAAAAGACCCTAAATGCTGCATTCTTAGCTCTAAATTTAGATTCCTAGGGTGTTCTGAAGACAAGCTCTCTCAGTCGACGAACATTTGGAGGAAGCAGCCCTTCCTGGGGAATAGAGGAAGAAACAGCCAGTGTTCAAGCTGGCAGGTCGATTATGCAACCCAGACACTGGCATCCGCGTGTTTCCTGTGTCTCCAGAGGTTCAGAACCCTGACGACTGGTTCTTTACCACCCGGGTTTCCAGGCGAGACCCTGATGTGCCGGGTGTGGGCGGGGCGTGTGTCCTCCCCACGCCTGCTGTCATCTCAGCTGAGTTGCTCGGGGGCCTTCTGTTTGAGGGCTCGGGGTTCGTGTGTTTGTGTTTCCATTCTAAGATTGAGTCTGGCAGTCCCTGTTTTTGCATTGGGGTGTCTGCTGTTTGATTTTTTTAAATTGCAGTATTCGTATGATTGCGATAAGGCAGTTGGGCTTTTACAGTCATTGCAGGGATGGTTCTTGTTCTCTGCTGTAAACTGTAAAACATTGTATGAAGACTTAAAGTCTTGATGTTGTGAAGCAGAGGTTATTTTGTCAAAAGATTAAAAGGATTTTGTTGGTACCTGGTTTCGTGTCGTGTGTATATACGTGAGGTTGAACGGAGAAATGAGAGTTCAGTGGTGGGTGATGTGAGTGTGGTGACGGCAGCAAAGATACTTTTGTGATAACGTTTGAAAGTACCTTATATTTTACGTAACGGCATGTTTCATTTTGATTAAAAGCTACCAAAGGAATTTTGATCATGGTATAAGTGTTTACAGCAATATTTTCTGGAAGACACCGAGTTTATATCATTTGATTTTGTGCTAACCTATTAAAAGATCTCTCTCTTTGAAACACGCGTGTTTAGAATACGACACCTCCTGGGTTCCCATTTTAAAACCTTCGCTCTTTCGGCATCATCGTTTCTATACTGGCGAATTTTCACTCATGAGCTCCGCGATGCATGGTCTGAAAGACCAAATAGATTTGTTTCTTGTATTTTAAGTTCACTGTACCTAGATATTGTTAATATTGTAATTTAATGGAGACTTACTTTGAATAAAACTCGTTCAATTGGCCTTAAAATTACATTCATGAAACTCGGTGATATGCAAACTAGACCTTCATCATAGCTCATTAGTAGTTTTCACTTAATTTCTAGGGCACCAAAGGGAAGCAAGAGGCAGGGAACTCCGTCACCCTCTCATGTGAGTGTTTTTTCCTGCTCTCCTCGGTCACAAATGACTGGTGAGGTCAGACATTGGCAAGCAGGGGGTTTTCACCTGCTGATGACACAGAGCAGTGTGCTATGGCTTTAATTCGCTTTGTCTCAGCTGGGCATAGGCCCAAGCGACCATCTCATAGACAGGGAGAAAGACAAACGTAGAGGTGGGCTATGGCGGCTCAAGCCTCTCATCCCAGCACTCTGGAGGCCGGGGCAAGGGGATTGCCTAAGCCCGGGGGTTCGAGACCAGCCCGGGCAACTTGGTGAGACCTCGTCTCTACAATATATCAAAAAATTAGCCGGGTGTGGTCACGCGTGCCTATAGTTCCAACTACTTGGAAGACTGAGGCAGAAGGATCGCCTGAGCCCAGCAAGTCGACGCTGGGGTGGCCGTGAGCATGCCACTGCATCACAGCCTGGGCAACGGAGTGAGACTCTGACTCAAAAAAGAAATGAGAAAGGAGGGTCAGGCACGGTGGCTCACGCCTATGATCCCAGCACTTTGGGAGGCTGAAGTAAGAGGATCGCCCTAGCCCATGGGTTGGAGACCAGCCTGGGCAGCTTGGTGAGACCCCATCTCTGCAGTAAATAAAAAATTTAGCTGGGCATGTTGGTGCCTGCTTGTAGTTCTGTATATCATTGTGGGTTGACCGAACTAGTGACCGTATCCATCGCCTCAGTGAACTTGTTTTGTGCTGAGAACATTTGGAATTTACTCTCGCAACTTTGGATTGTATGGATGCTCTGTTTTTTTACTATGTTCAGCATATGCAGTAGAACTCAAAGAAAAATGTATGCTTTTTCTAATAGATTTTGTACCCTTGACCTTTTTTTTGTTTTTTATTTTTTTGAGTCAGGGTCTTACACTGTTGTCCAGGCTGAAGTACAGAGGCATGATTATGGCTCACTGCAGCCTCAAGCTCCTGGGCTCAGACCCACCTCCCACCTCAGCCTCCCCCAGGTGGCTGGGACTACAAGTCTGTACCACCATGCCCGGCTAATTTTTTTATTTATTGTGGCGACAAAGACGTGCCAAGTTGTACAGGCTGGTCTCAGACCCCTGGCTCAGGCAGTCCTCTTTCCTCCCCCTCCTATCCCTAGCCCTAACTGTAACCTTTCCTGGAGTTTTTAGTTGCTACTGAGGACAAAAGAAACACATGCCAGCCAGGCTCGGTGGCTCAGCCTGTAATCCCGCGCTTTGAGAGGCTGAGGTGAGTGGATTGCCTGAGCCCACGGGTTCGAGACCCGCCCGGGCAACTTGGCAAGACCTCATCTCTACAGTAAATGAAAAAATTAGCCGGGCGTGATAGCGCGCTCCTGTAGTTCCAGCTACTTGGAAGGCTGAGGCGGACGGATCGCCGGAGCCCAGCAGAGGTCGAGGCTGCGGTGGCCGGGAGCGGCCACTGCACTCTAATCTGGGCAACAGAGTGAGACTCCAACTCAAAAAAAAGAAACACATACCTTTGTCTTATCACTAACATTATCAATTTTCTTATTGTACTATTTGCATAAAGCTAATTTTCTTTTTCCAAGTTAGAGTCTTATTCCGTCGCCCAGGCTGGCGTGCAGTGGCACACTCACAGCCACCCCCACTATCAACCTGCCAGGCTCCGGCAATCCTTACACCTCAGCCTTCCAGATAGCGAGAACTACAGGAGCGTGCTACCACACCCAGATTTTTTTTTTCTTTTCTTTTCTTTTTTTTTTTTAAAAGATGAGGTCTCACCAAGTTGCCTAGGCTGGTCTCAAACTGTGGGCTCAGGCAATTCACTCCTCCGCCTCCCAAAGTGCTGAGCCATTGAGCCCAACCATATTTTTTTCCTTAAAACACTTTTCTCTGGGTGCAGTGGCTCATGCCTATATTCCCAGCACTTTGGGAGGCAGAGGTGAAGCCCAGGAGTTCAACAACAACGTAGGCAATATGGTGAGACCACGTCTAAATAAACCAGAAAACTAGCTGGGCGTGGGGGCACACACCTGTAGTTCCAGCTGCTTGTAAGGCTGAGGCGGAAGGATCACCTGAGCCCAGTAGGTCGAGGCTGTGTGGTGGTCGTGAGTATGCCACTGCACCCCAGCCTGGGTGACAGAGTGAGACTCCGACTCAAATACCACATTTTTCTTAGAATAATGGTGTTTTAAATTGGACCACTTACTACTTTTTAAAGAATGTTCTGTAAAGCAGCCATATCTGCAGATCAAATCGCAAATGCCAAAGGAGCCAAGAAACCAAACATGAGGTTGAAATCCCAGCCGGGCTCGGTGGCTCAGCCTGTCATCCCGCGCCTTTGGGAGGCTGAGGTGAGTGAATTGCCTGAGCCCGCAGGTTCAAGACCCACCTGGGCAGCGAGACCTCATCTCTACAATAAATCAAAAAATCAACCGGGCGTGGTAGCGCATGCCTGTAATTCCAGCTACTTGGAAGGCTGAGGCGGAAGGATCGCAGGAGCCCAGCAGGTCGAGGCTGCGGTGGCCGGGAGTGGCCACTGCACTCCAGTCTGGGCGACAGAGTGAGACTCCAACTCAAAAAAAAAAAAAAAAAAAAAAAAAAGAAATCCCAGCGGCGATCAACCGACATGTTAGGTGGAACCACGGGGTCTGCGATCCGGTGCCATGCAAAAGATGCCAAAAATTGCACAGAAGTTAGGTTAGAAAATACAACTGTTAGGGTCACACTCTCCCAGTGGGGCCTCCAGAATGTGAGGTCAGGCCCACTGGGAGTGTAGGTGTCTGGAGTGTGGGTGTCTGGAGTGTGATATGATGCCGCAGGAAAGACGCAAAGAATTGCACAGAAGTGAGGTAGGAAAATATGGTTTATTTAAAAGCAAACTAAGCCGGGCTCGGTGGCTCAGCCTGTAAACCCGCGCTTTGGGAGGCTGAAGTTGAGTGGATTGCCTGAGCCCGCGGGTTCGAGACCCGCCTGGGCAACTTGGCGAGACCTCATCTCTATAATAAGTCAAAAACTAGCCGGGCATGGTAGCACGCACCCGTAGTTCCAGCTACTTGGAAGGCTGAGGCAGAAGGATCGCCGGAGCCCAGCAGGTCGAGGCTGCAGTGGCCGGGAGTGGCCACTGCACTCCAGTCTGGATGACACAGTGAGACTCCAACTCAAAAAAATAAATAAAATAAAAGCAAACTAGAAGATTCACCTCCCTGAGACAGGGAAGGGGGACAAAACCAGGAAACATGGCGGGCCGTAGCTCAGAGAACACATGGCCACACCATAGCTTAGCAAGGCAGTGGCAGAGATGGTCTGGCAATGGCAAAATGGCTGTTCGTGCTTGTGTCCTTTTAACCATTTCCCTTGGATGGGGCAGGTCATTAAGGTGATTGGGTAGTGGTCTGCTCACGTCATCACGAAGGGGCAGGTGAGCACAGGTACTGACGTCAGGTGATAGCAGGCAGTTGGGTGGGTTAGTCACATGCCTGCTGCATGGTGGTGGGCTGTAGGTGGGAGGCAACAGGGGAGAAGGCTTTCCTGCCAGAGACTTGTTAGATATTTGCAGTCCACAAACTCCTTCACCAAAAAGATGGTCTGTTATCATTTCTGTGGCTTTGGTCAGCCAAGAGGTGACCTTTGATCTTTTGCCTTGACAGGAACCTGAAGTTTCCTAGAGATGATTATGCTAAGCCATGAGTTCAAAGGTTGTGCTGTTGGGCTGTTCTGGTTTCACATCCCATGGAGATGTGGCCAAGGGGGAGGGGTTGGCTGCCTCTTAGCCTGCAGTGGAATGTCTGAACACTTCCTAAAACCTGCCTGTTGGAAGTTTCTCTACCTCTTACCTGTGCTAGATTCAAAGCATGTCAAGGATGAAGTCTAAGCAAAAATGGCCATGCTGAGGCAAAAAGACTGTGCTAAGCGAAGTTGATTCTGGATTTCTGTAGGTCCCTCCTTTCAGCAGTTTATTGAGAAAGTAAAGAGAGAAGATTCACTTCCTCAAGGGAGGGGAGGTGGCCAAAGCTTGGGAAAACATGGCGGCCTTGGCTCAATGAACACTTGGCCCGTCCAGGGCTTTACAAAAACAATGGCAGTGGCTGCTTGAGGTTGAACCCTTTAAAACCCTCCCTTTGCTGAGGGCAAGTCCTGGAAGTGACTGGATCTGTTTTATGTCATCACGAAGGGACAGACAAGCACGGGGACTGATGGCAGGTGACAGCAGGCAAACGGGTGGGTTCGTCACATGACTGTTGCCAAGGTGATGGGGTCTGTGTCCTGAAGATCACAAAGGCCTGATGAGGGTAACTCATTCGTGATCGCTGACATGTATCACAGCATTGCAAATTCTGTTCCTGGTTGCCACTGATGTGCATTTACATCTTTGCAAGTTCTGTTTCTGAATGCTGCAACGGTGTCATATGTATGTGTTACTCTATTTTGCTTGGAAATGAATAGTGAGGCACGGAGAAAGTTAACTGAGATAATTTTCTGACATCGACTGCGCAATGTTGATTTATGTAGTTGGTGAAAATTGCAAGTTGGTCATTATTTTGTTGCAATTAGTGCTGTATTTTGATATTTCAGGGCTTTTTTTTTTTTAAGTCGGAGTCTCTCTGTCACCCAGGCTGAAGTGCAGTGGCATGCTCACAGTCACCACAGCCTCGGCCTGGTGGGCTCAGGTGATCCTTCTGCCTCAGCCTTCCAAGTAGCTGGTACTACAGGCGCGCGCCCACACCTGCT